GCCGGACACGAAAAAAGACAAAAAGGAAAAAAAAAAAAAAAAAAGAAGACCAGTAAGGGGTCTTAACCCTTGACCTGGTGTTGTCAGCACCCCGCTCACCACTGAGCTAACCGGCCATCCCTATATGGGATCTGAACCCATGGCCTTGGTGTTATCAGCACCGCACTCTCCTGAGTGAGCCACAGGCTGGCCCCTAGATTGAATTTTTAAATATCACAGCATTTTGTTGGAATTTTTAAAGCATACAGATAGTTTTTATTGATTATACTAACTAGGGATTAGTAGCACAAGCTGATATGTTATGTGGAAAATATATTCAGCATATTTTCTCCTCTCGCCTCTCTCCACCCAATTGCCAGTGCCCCATTCAGTCAGCATCAGTTCCATGTGTGATTCAAAATCCCAGTCAATAAGGTATCACTTGTTTCCACTAATTCTGTGCAATTTTTCTAATATTTCATAGAAACACACATACCCCCTTAGTAGCACTCACTATCCTTTAATTTCAGAGGAAATGCGGTACAACTTGAGGATGTTATAATAGGAATGAATGATAGGGGTGGGTATGGCCTCAGGGGGAAGGAGTGAATTTCTGGCAAACACGGCAAGTCTCTGGGAAGACAGGACTACAATGTCTGGGAACCCCTGGCTTGATGTTTACACCCCACCATCACTTCTGTGGGCTGTGGGTGACTTGTGTAATGGTGCTAAGACCACCTGAAGACCAGTGCATATCTGACCATATCCACAGCTCCTAAATGCTCTAATTTTAAGTATTAAATGGTCCAGGATGTTTTAATTTTTAAATTTAATGTACGAGGGTACTTCAAAAAGTTCATGGAACAATAGAATTAAAAGATAATACAAATCTTCCCATGAACTTTTTGAAGACCCCTCATATATTCTGATAATTAAAATATATCTTATCCTTCTCCTAAACCTTAGATTTCTGTTGCAGGAGATGGGAAGGTAAACTTCTCAGACTTTATAAATGTGCTAACAGATAAGGACCGCTTCCTCAGAGCTGTGGGTGAGTAGAGATGTTACTGAATAGATGGCAGTTGGGTAGCTACAACTCACTACATAGTAAATAAACATTATTGACTTGCACTCAGGAGACAAATCAGGTGTAGTCTGGAATGCAATTTACTTTTGTACTACTTCTCCAAAACAATATTTGCTAAGCAAATTGATACAGTTTTAGAATTTTAACTTAAATACATCAAGCAGGCACTGGCATTGTCTAAAGGTTTAATGCAGGAGACACTGCCCTGTAGTCTCCAATGAGAGCACTCAGGAAGTGACTAGTGTAGAAAAATTTGGTCTCCTTTATAGTGTCTGAATTCTTTACCAAGTATATACACACTTTGGGAGGCATTCCTTTTACAAAAGAAAAAACATTTTTTAGGGCCGGCCTGTGGCTCACTCGGGAGAGTGCGGTGCTGATAAACACCAAGGCCACGGGTTCGGATCCCATATAGGGATGGCCGGTTTGCTCACTGGGTGAGCGTGGTGCTGACAACACCAAGTCAAGGGTTAAGATCCCCTTACCAGTCATCTTTAAAAAAAAAAAAAGAAAAGAAAAAACATTTTTTAGAGGAAAAACGGTGCTCTCTCTCATGCAAATTTGGGGTATAAATAATTTACTGTTCTTGAAAAATACCTTCTTCACACTGATAAAACCTCAACCCTCAGTGCACTGTTCATGAGTTCAACAGCTGCCTTGGAAAATCTAACCTCTATTTATAACATGTTTTCCAGGATAAATACATTCCAAAACCCAAGCATTGTAGACAGTTTTGAAAATTCACCCATTCATAAGCTATGAACTGTCCTTAGGATAAAGTGAAGTTACTGTTTGCAAGTACTACTATAGTAATGGGGGCTTGCCTGCAAACCAGAGATATATTTTCAACAATTCCTTTGCCTAGAAGAACAAGACAATAATCCTTAATATATAACTCATGTTTATGTTAAAAGTACTACTATATTTACTTGGAAGTTATTGAACTAAAAGTATTTTTTATATTCCATAACTAGTCTGTCTGCTCAGTAATCAAAATGGCCTTTCTACCAGATAGAACAGATTTTTAATGATTTACTGTGTCTCTAGTCCCTGACTTGATATTATTATTACAAATACTCAGTAAAAAGACTATCAGTTTATTTATTTATTTATTTTGATACATGGTTTGTTCAGAAGGCATTTTCAAATCTATCTTTTTTTTCCCTCCATAGTTCCAGAAAAGGAGACCTGTTTAGATGTAGCTGGCAATCCAGGGATCCTACTGTTTGAGATCTTATCAAAGCTTGTAGAGACTTCAGCCCTACCCAGAAAGGCTATAATGGAACTAGTAAAGTAAGTGGGAAGGAAAGGAACAAAAACTGACTTCTCAGAAGCACTTTTGAGGATATTAACACAGCAGTCACCTCTACTAACATCCAACTCGCCAGGGTCTGGCCCAAAACAAAGGATTAAGTAACTGAAAAGTGGCTCTCCTGCCACAATATGAGATCTTATTCCTTCATCTCCACAGTCCTGCTCAGCTCTGAAATCATAAGGCTGACCTCAGACCATCTCAGGGCCCCACTGAAGGTCTAAGACAGCCAAGCAGGTTCAGCCTCTCCTAACTATGGCCTGAGAATCCCAACAGAATAAGACTTTTTCCAGGGATGATTTGGGGTGGGCTTAGAAATCTAGTTTGGAATACAAGACTTTACTGCTCATCCTGGAACTACCAGGGGCTCTCAAGAGAGACTTTACTACTCATCCTGGAACTACCAGGGGCTCTCAAGAGGTCCTCTGACTCTGAGATGAGGGTGACAGCAAATTCAGACCTCCCACGGTAGCCTTTAGACTAGAGCAGAACCAATTACACTTGAGAATAAAGGATGAGGAAACATTCTCACCCGAGTGTGTTTATTTATTAATAATAAATTTGTTGATTAGCTAAACAGATAGCTATATTTACCAAATAGTGCTAAAAATAAACTTCCTCAATTAATTTTTTTCATTGTATTATAGAAATTAAACAAATGTTGCCATTATCAATCTTTTCAACTCATACGCCTTCAAAGCATTCTGGTATCCCACTTAGAGAAACAAAAATACAGAATTCCACTTATAATATAAAACTAATCTTCTGTCCCTCAGTAGGTAGTCTCTTTATACCATTCTATCTCTCTGTCAGAAGGGGAACAGAAAGTGCACAGAATTCTACTTTTCGTTCCAATTTAAAGATATTTATCAAATTCCTGCTTTTGGTATACAAATTTGGCACATTGCTTAGCCTCTCAGCCTCAGTTTCCTCATCTATAAGAAGGAGGTAATGATAATGATAATACCTACCTTATAGGGCAATTGTGAGGATGATGTGTGATAATGCATGTGAAGTGCTTGGCACATTATAAGAGCACAATAAATGTTAGCTATCATTATTATGTGGAAGTAACTAGATAAGCATAGAATATGCATATTATCTAATGAGTATATACTGTTATTACCCCCATGTTACATATCCAAAACTGAAGCACAGGTCAGTTAAATAACTTGCCCTAGAGGCAGTAGTGCTTAGATTTTAGCACACTCTGATTCGCTTGCTCTTATCCACCCCCCATACTGCCTCTCACACCTGGTAAGCGCATGCTTAGGAAATGTTAGCTGATGTTCGTGTTTTTGTTATTGTGGTTGTGTTTGTTATTTATATAGTCATCTTGTTATTGCCTGGTTCCTAAGGAGATTAAGTGTTTAAGATATAGCATTTGCATTTAAGGAGCTTAAAATATAAATGAAGAGAAAAGCCATAAATATCTGGATAACTAGCTAAATATACAGAAGTAAAATAATACAAAATATGTTATATAATTAATTGTCAAGTGAATGGCAGAGATAATTCATCTAGTTTCCTGAGAAAGCAGGTCTTGAGCTAGTTAATAGAATTGGATAGGCATTTGTATAGCTGATGACATCATTTATTGAACATTTACTAAGTGCAAAGCTCTGAGCAAGCACTTACATACATTAGTTTTTCCTTGGATAGTAACTGGTCTCCCTGCTTGCACATTTTGACTTCTCCCCTGCCCTGCCTGCCCCACAGTCTGCTCTCAACACTCCTTATGCCTCACTGATATCTTGACTCCTACAACACCAAATGACCCTTTAAAAATTGTCAGATCACGTCACTCCTCTGCTCAAAACCTTCAAAACCTCCCATTTCCCTCAGAGGAAAATCCATAGTCTTTATGATGATTTATTGCCCTCTATGTGATCTGCACTTCTCTTACACCTCTTTGACTTCATCTCCTGTTACTCTGCTCAGGCCATGCCGGCCTCCTTGCTGTTCCTCAAATACACCAGATGTGTTTCTACCTAAGGCCTTTGCGCTTGTTTTTCCCTCTATCTGGAACACCTTCCCCTGGGTATCCCAGGACAAACTCTACTCACTCTCACCACCTTCAGGTCTTTGTTCAAATGTCATCTCGGTAAAGGAAACCAAAGGCCAAGGACTAAGGATATAAAATAGTCAAGTGGCCTGGAGAAAGTATCAGTAGATATTCTATAAATGTCACAAAAATAGGCACTCAATAATATTTATTGAATGAATATGAAATTAGACTTAAAATAAACTTGACTTTGTTTTTCTTTTTGTCCTATGACACTTTTCATCCACTTATGAATTGCTTTTTTTTTTAAGCTATTTCCAAAGAAAATTCCAGGATACCAGTGCAGAAATACCATGGAGTCCCTTATGGGTTATGGAAAAAGGAGACTTAAGCCAGACATATGCATACCTCCAAACTCAAGCATGGCTGCTTTTGCTAATGCTGCCAAGGTTGCAATAACAGAAGAAAAGGATTTATTTAAATTTCTTGAAGAGCTCAAGAGTAAGAGCCGTTTGTTCTCTCCACACTGTTTTGAAGGACTTATTTGTATATGACTGGTCAGAATACTAGAGGCCAAGTGCTGTAAGAGCAGGACCACTGTTCTGAGTAACAGGTCTCTGACACACAGATAACATCTGAAAGCAAATGTACATCTTACCTGAATCCTCAGACACCTGGATGAAGCCTAGAGTATGTAGGTGGGAAGGGGGAGTAGGAGAGTAAAGAAGGGGGGCCGTGGCCACTAAGGAGAAGCATAAATGCAGAGCAAAGTAGGCACCACATGTTTATCTTTTATGTGAATTTCTTCTTACATTGTTTGTGATACTATTTCTATTTTTATCTTTTTAGGATGCAATCCCCCTTCAGACAGTCCATATTCAAAAGTACCCATCTTTCCGTTGTTTCCTAATGTGGATGGGATGGTGATAGGAAAGCCATTCAAAGACATACAGAAATTAGAAATGCTAAGGAGAAAAGAGCCTTTGAGTTTCTTTGAGAACTATTTTTTCCATAAAAAAGACTGGAAAACACAGGTGAGATTTAGATTATGCCTCATTAGTTAATTTAAATACTTAGATTTTTGAGTACTAACTTAGCAGAACTAAGAGCATGTTTTTTACAACAAATATCTTTAGTTGATATATTTCAAACCAGATTCCATAACCATTTTCCCAAATTTAAGCCCAGGTGTAAATATTTAATTTAATTTCAACACATAGTTAAACTTACTGAAAAATACAATCCTAGGTTTGGGATTGGGGATGGGGAACATAATAATAATAACAATAAAAGATCCTCAGGTCCTACCTCCAGTCACCCTCCCATCAACTCAGGGACCAGAAGCTGCATTTTGGACTCCCTCAGGATTATGTTCTAGATTGTGGTTGGGTCAAACACCATGGGATAAGCAGACCAGGCCCACAACCCAATGGAGCAATGCTGTGAAAGAGGGGCCATCCTGCCCTTCACTAGAACCTCATTTATGGTTCCAGCTGCACTTTCTGGCTCACTTCAAGCTCTGTTGCCTCTAATCTACTTTGCCACTCCCAAGATATACTTTATCATGAGTTTTAATTTTTCAGGCAAGTATGCCCAACTTTCTAGATATTCTCTTAGGATGCTCTGGCCTTACCCCAGGTTTGTCACAGGCCTGCCAGCCTGAGAAACAGGATAGAGATTTGACAGGGGGCCAGTCCACTCTGTGGGGCATCTCTGGGTTTCAAAGATCCATGTGCAGTTCACATTAGCATAAAATCCCTAGAATACCCCTGCAAACATAAGGTTTAAGAGTCTGAGGGGCTATCACTGTCACAAATGACCCCAAGTTCAGACTTCGTCTTTATCTGTCCAAAGGAAGCCATAAGTGCAGGCAAATGTCACAGACAAGATGAAACTAAAAGGACATTTACTCTTCTTTAAATATTTTTTTCTTGGTGGCTGGCCTGTATGGGATTGAAACCCTTGACCTTAGTGTTACAACACCATGCTCTAAGCAACTGAGCTGACCAGCCAGCCTACCTCTTTAAATTTATGTCCCAACATTGAACCCCTCCACCTGTGATGCTTATCTTGTCACTGTCAGTCTCTCCAACTAGAATATAAGGTTCACATATGCAAGGACTTTGTTTCACTGAGGTATCCCTATCACCTAAAACACAGCCTGGCCCATAACAGACTCACTATTTTTTGAATGAAAGAAAACTACAGTAAAAATAATAGAGAGCACACTATATGCTAGATGGTGTCTAATCATCTCAGCAGAGATAGTGCCAGTAGTTTCCTAAGTGGTCCCCCTGCTTTTACTTTTGTCTCCTTCAATCTATTCTCAACACAGCAGCCAAACTGACTCCAAACCCTCCAATGGTTTTTCATATCAGTTAGAATAAAAACCAAAATTTTTATAATAACTTATAAGGTCCTACACAATCTAAATCTGAGCCTTCCAATAATCATAGCCACTAATGGCTATTTAAATTTAAACTTAAATTAAGTTAAATTACAAATTCATTTCCTTAGCCACACTAGCCACATAAAATGCTCAATAGCTATATGTGGCTAATGGCTACTGTACTGGACAGCACAGAAATACAGAACATTTCCATCTTTGTGGAAAGTTCTACTGGACATCACTGATCTAGACACTCAGTGCCTATCCAACAGTCTCATCTTTCACTGCTCACCCTCAGTTCACAGTGCACTCCACTCCATGTGCAAGGTCTCTTTATTATTTCCTCTTACATACCAGACACGCTCTCATCTCATGGTCTTTGGTTTTGTTATTCGTCTGCTTCAATGCTATTCCCCAGACATCTGTATAATGCTCTCCCTCACCTCTTTCATGTCTTGACTCAAATGTCACTTTAGGAGGCCCTCTCTAGCAGCCCTGTTAAAATCACAATTCTCACCTTGACAGTGTACTAAATGCCACTGAGTTGTTCACTTCAAATGATTGATTTTATGTTATATGAATTTTCACCTCAGTAAATTATTTTTAAATATACATTTAAATAAAATCACAACTTCCAAGAAAATATTTGCAAACTATTCACCTGACAAGGGGTTAATATCCAGAATATACAAGGAATTCATCTCAACAACAACAAAAATAATCCAATTTAAAAATGGGCAAATGATCTGAATAGACACTTCTCAAAAAAGACAAACAAATGGCCAACAGGTACATGAAAAAAAACCACTCAACCACTAATCATCAGAGAAATGCAAATCAAAACCATAATGAGATATCATCTCACTCTAGTTAGAATATCTATTATCAAAAAGATTTTTTTAAAAATGCTGGGAGAGCGGGCCGGCCCGGTGGCGCACTGGATAGTGCGCAAGGTGCTGGTGTGGTGTGCCCGGTTGTGGGAGGGTGGCCCAGTCCCCTTCTCCATGCCCTGGGTCCCTGGGTGGGGCCCAAGGTGCTGGTGTGGTGTGCCCGGTTGTGGGAGGGTGGCCCAGTCCCCTTCTCCATGCCCTGGGTCCCTGGGTGGGGCCCAAGGTGCTGGTGTGGTGTGCCCGGTTGTGGGAGGGTGGCCCAGTCCCCTTCTCCATGCCCTGGGTCCCTGGGTGGGGCCCAAGGTGCTGGTGTGGTGTGCCCGGTTGTGGGAGGGTGGCCCAGTCCCCTTCTCCATGCCCTGGGTCCCTGGGTGGGGCCCAAGGTGCTGGTGTGGTGTGCCCGGTTGTGGGAGGGTGGCCCAGTCCCCTTCTCCATGCCCTGGGTCCCTGGGTGGGGCCCAAGGTGCTGGTGTGGTGTGCCCGGTTGTGGGAGGGTGGCCCAGTCCCCTTCTCCATGCCCTGGGTCCCTGGGTGGGGCCCAAGGTGCTGGTGTGGTGTGCCCGGTTGTGGGAGGGTGGCCCAGTCCCCTTCTCCATGCCCTGGGTCCCTGGGTGGGGCCCAAGGTGCTGGTGTGGTGTGCCCGGTTGTGGGAGGGTGGCCCAGTCCCCTTCTCCATGCCCTGGGTCCCTGGGTGGGGCCCAAGGTGCTGGTGTGGTGTGCCCGGTTGTGGGAGGGTGGCCCAGTCCCCTTCTCCATGCCCTGGGTCCCTGGGTGGGGCCCAAGGTGCTGGTGTGGTGTGCCCGGTTGTGGGAGGGTGGCCCAGTCCCCTTCTCCATGCCCTGGGTCCCTGGGTGGGGCCCAAGGTGCTGGTGTGGTGTGCCCGGTTGTGGGAGGGTGGCCCAGTCCCCTTCTCCATGCCCTGGGTCCCTGGGCGGGGCCCAAGGTGATGGCGTGGTGTGTCTGGTTGTGGGAGGGGGTCCAGTCCCCTTCTCCATGCCTCAGGTCTCTGGCAGGCCCTGAAGCGCTGGCTCAGTGTGCCTGGTTGGAGGAGAGAGGTCCATTCCCCTTCTCCTTGCCTGGGGTCCTGGGCAGGCCTCAAGGTGCTGGCGTGGTGTGCCTGGCTGTGGGAGAGAAGTCCAGTCCCCTTCTCCATACCTCGGGTCCCCAGGTGGGCTCTGAGGTGCTGGCATGTTGTGCCTGGTTGTGGGAGGGTGGTCTGGTCCCCTTCTCCATACCCCAGGACCGTGGGTGGGCTCTGAGGTGCTGGCATGTTGTGCCTGGTTGTGGGAGGAAGGTCCGGTCCCCATCACCATGCCTGGGTCCCTGGGTGGGCTCCAAGATGCTGGCATGCTGTGCCTGGTTGTGGGAGGGTGGTCCAGTCCCCTTCTCCATGCCCTGGGTCCCTGGGCGGGGCCCAAGGTGATGGCGTGGTGTGTCTGGTTGTGGGAGGGGGTCCAGTCCCCTTCTCCATGCCTCAGGTTCCCAGGCTGGCCCCTACGCACTGGTGCAGTTCGCCTGGAAGTGGGAGTGGGGTCCAGTCCCCAGATCCAAGCCTCCAGTTTCCAAGCAAGCCCCAAGGTGCTGGTGGTGTGCCTGGCCTGGAACTAATTTTTTGTCCTTTGCTTCTGACATGGGGGAACTTCCTGTGGGAACTAGTACTTGAGCTGTGTGGTTGTTTAAATTGCTACTTTGCTGCTGTTTCCCTAGGGAAAGCTTTTTGTGCTGCTCTGGGTTTAATGGTTCACATTATAGGCACTTCCGGCTCTCCAGAGACCTGGTGGATCTGTGTTCTGTAGAATCTCTGATCTGGGCCTGAGTTTTTTCATCAAACTGCACCCCATGCAATTCTGTATTCCTGACCAGTCCTGTGCTGATTGGGGGCAAATCAGCTGTCCTTGCTGTGTCCCAGTGTTCCCCTGATGGGCCCATCTCCCCCACTGCCCATGCTGCAAACACTTCCCATGGGAGGGCCCTGTGCTGGTCTCTTGCAATGACTCACCAGCTTCTGAGTGGCTCCCTTTTTCAGTTGTTCTAGCTCCTCGCTCCTGCATGGGTCCACAGGAACCCTATTAGTGGTCTTGCTGTCCTGGGGGCCGCCAAGGCCCTCTTCTCTCTTGCTGCCTCCAAGTAACTCCATCTGAAGGGCACAGCTGTGGCTTCTGCCGGCTCCTGCTGCATGTGCTCAGCAGCTCGAGCCTTAAAGCAGCAGTGGCCCGAAATGCTCAGAGCAGCTTTTTCTTTCTCTCATCATAGTTTCTCCCGCCTTCATGAACTCCATAGGTCTCTCCTCCTCTTCCGCTGAGCTCCAGCGGTCCAGGCTTGGCTGATGTTACATTTTTATAGCTGTAAATTGGTTGATTTGTGGGAGAGAGTGACGCTGTGGACCGTCTATTCCACCATCTTGATTGGATCCCGTACATATTTATTTCTTATACTTCACATATATATATGTATAGCCACAGCTGTATCTATCATATCTATTATATGTTCTAAATATTATAATATATTACATCTAATATGCTATAAATGTTTATTAGACTACACATATTTGTAATTATAATATACATGTATAAATATTATAAATTATATTACATCTAATCTAATACATCTGATCTAATGTACAACATATTTATAAATGTTCATTAGAACCAAGAAATGAAAATATCACATTTCAGAATGAAAGTAACGGAGCTACATGAACACTACGCCACCCATCTATCCATTCCCCATCTCCCACCCCTCACACAGACTCCTG